CCCGCGGTCGGGCGCCCTCGCAGCCCTCCTCGCCGCGGCGGGTCCCGGCTCCGCCCGCTCGGGCGCCCGTTCGGTCTCCGCGCCCTGGGAGGTCTTCCTCCAAAGGTGAAACTGAAAGTTTCCAAGAGGTCGAAGACCGCGTTTTGGGGGGCCAGAGTTGCCGCCTAATTTAGGCAGAGTGCTTAGGGGAGCCACGCTGGCGGGAAACGCGAGGCGAACCTTTGGTCCGGACTGCCCCGAGGATTTCAGCGGTCTGCACTGTTCCGTTCGAGCGCCTGCAGCGCTCTCGGCGCTGGAGGTACACGGACAGGAAAATTCCAGTCCTCCGCTAGATGCGCTTAGCGAGGAAGCCTGATGGTCGGCAGATAAATAAGAGAAGCGGGATAAAGTGGTCGAGGAACGCCTCTCTGCTGTTTGCCCCAGACGCGCTTTCCCAGCGTTGCTTAGTTATCTCCGTACGCCTCGGTTCTTTGTGTGTATTTTCGAAGGCTGGAATACGTTGACGTGAGTATGTGCTTAGGGAAAAGAGCCGAGCTGTCCTGGAGAAAATCTGGATTCTTGAAGAAGTTTTGAACCGGGTGTCGTGGCGCGCGCCTGTAATCCCAGCACGCGGGAGGCCGAGGCAGGAGGATCGTTGAGAGTTCGAGGGCAGCCAGAACTGCATAGTGAGACCCTGTCTCTGAAAGACAACAAAACAAAACAAAAAGGAAGAAATTCAGTGACAAAGCAAAACAAAAAAGAAGAAATTCAATGCAGGATCTTTTCAGTGCTTAAAACCTTTTTGCGATTATTCTATTGACATATCCCATAGAATAAAAAGTAGACCCTAGAGGCTAACGATATTAGCAAAACAATATTCCCTTTTCTTGGGTATGTGTAATTCAAGTAGAACCTCCCGGAGCAGAGGGCGGGTGTGTTTTGGTTTTGGTTTGGTTTGGTGCTGTGTTGAGTTTTTGCTGGGACCTTCTGTACGAGCTTCAGGAATTACATTTTCCTTCCCGACTTATTTCCATTTCAGTTGGGAATTTCAGTACTATCAGAAATGAGAAATGTGTACAGTACTGACAGTCTGTGTACGTGTGTTCGGGCAGTTGTAAAGGAGAAGTTTTCTTTCCATTAGGACAGGACGGGGAAAACTAATGTCAGTTTGAATTATTTGTTGTTTCTAGAGAACTACTAGTGAAGATATTTTCAGTCATCCTATAATTTGTCTATGAGGAGTTGGGGAAGAAGGTAAAAAATCGCTTTTCCTAAATTTGACTTGGTTACACATCATCAAGAAGGGATGAGGTAGAAAGTAGACAAGTGATTCTAAATTACTTGTAAATGGTACGCTCTCAAAAGAAATATATCAGAAATCTTACAGAGAAAACTGAGACAGTGTACATAGTGCAGTGTCATTCCTCATCCTCATTTTTGCTGGCGTTGAATTGACAGCCACCTATTTAGAGAGTATTAAGGCGAGTGGAAGCCAAACTGTGTGCGTTATAAGTTGACTAGCCCATATTTGAAATACCTGAGACCAGAAGTGTTTCAGATTTTAGAATATTTGTATAGCTTGTATAGGTTGAGGATCCCAAATCAAAAATGCAAAATACTTCAAAGTCTGAGAACCAACAAAGCCTGTACTGTGAATATCAGATTGCTCAGATTTTCCTGATATGTCATCTTTAATTATAAAAACTAGATTGAACTAAGATCTGTCCCCAAGAGGTCAGAAATGCCCTTTTCAAGGCAAGGAATCTGCTATTTAGGAAGCATGTTCAAGAGACAGAAGTTTGTGAAAAAAAGGAAGCAGGACCTGTTTATCTAGAACTTAATGAGCGCCACTGATTTCATTTATTCAGTACATTTTTTGATCATCTACCATGTAGTAGGCGTTACTGGGCCCTGGAATTTAGCTTGATTCTCTGTAGATGATAGGTGATTGATGTCATCATGATACTGTAATGACAGCTCTAGAGCAACTATTTGAGGCAGATCTCTGCATAATGAGTTGCTGTGATTTGCTCAAGCCCAGTGAATTGTGGGAGAGTTGAAAATAGTCAAAGTATAATGCCTATTGATTCCACACTCTGTGTGATGTTACTTCTTCCCTTGTAGAGAAAATTCTTAAAACTGCCAAAAAGATACTGATTTTAGGCCAGGCATGGTGAAGCATGCCTGTAATCCCAGTACTCAGGAGGCTGAGCCAGGAGGATTAATTTGAGTTCGAGGCCAGCCTAGGCTACAAACTGAATTGAAGACAGCTTGAACTGAGTAGCAAAACCCTGTCTCAAAAAAGAGACCAAAAGAAAAAAAGATAGTGAGTTTTAGCATGTTACTTGTAATTTTAACTATCAAAGGCAAGAGCCAATTTAGTGGAAAGGATCCTATTAAACATTTTAAGAGAGAAAAGGAAATTGGTTTACATTTTTGCCATGGCAAAATCTAGTTTTTTGTTGTCGTTTTGGTTTTTTGAGATAGGGTCTTGCTGTGTAGTTCAGGCTAGCCTTGAACTATGTAGCCCAACAAGGCTTCGAACTCAGGGTCCTCCTGCCTCAGCCTCCTGAGTGCTAGGATTGCAGGTGTTCACCCTGCGACACTTTGCCTAGCAGCATAACCTAATTTTCAAGTCAGTTTATGAGATTTACAATCCAGATTTAAGTTTCCTGGCAGGTATCTATCTGCACACGTCTAAGACTATATTTAAGTTTGTTGGTCATGAACTTCCCTTCTAAATTTTATCTTGATTTTCAGCCTTTGCCAGGGAGCTGTCTATGCCACTTGCTCAGGTTGTTGCCGCTGCAAAGCCCTCGGTTATTAACATGCCTTTTGAGTCCTGTGGTCAGACTATCCAAGGGAAAAGTATAAGACCTACTACGTGACGTCAGCTTATTTCCCTTAACCAGATCAGATCTTTTGAACCTCCTTGACACTGTATTTGTATTTATTAATAATACTTCAGACTGTTGTTATTCCCTTACTAAATTATAAAAGTCTTCAGGTTGAGTTAAAATTCATTCATTCATTCATTCATATATTTAGCTTGTCTCCTTTCACTGTACCTCACCCTGCAGTAGACACTTCTTTCTCAGAGTTGAAGTGCACACAAGGAAGTAACAGAATTTCAGTGTAAAAACCACTTACAGGGGTAATCTCTGGAGAAGGAAGAGAGGGGAGCTTTTACTTCATAGACAGACATACACAAAACGAGCACACCACAAGTGCTAAGTTCTCAGTCAAGGCACTAAATCTGTCGTTTTTGCTCATGTTACTGTGTGTTCCCCACTCAGCCTCTGTGGCACCTTCAGGATTCCTCTGCCCAGGGTTCACCACCAGCCACCCCTTATTTTAAATGTACATAGCCTTGAAATGTAGATACTTAATTTCATGTTCTAAATCAAAAATCTTAAGAGTTTAAGAAAATGTAAACAGGCAGTGGTGTTGATCTAAGCTAAGACTATAGAATGCCTAAACTCTGCTTTCTCCCTTAGGTCTCTTGAATACAGTGGCCTTCAGGATAAAAGAGTGCATGTTACTCATGTTTTACGAAGTGCACTTTTTTAGTAGCTTTAGTCTATGATTACTCTAAAACACAGACTAAGTTCTTAATTCCTTAAAAATTGTAGATGTATTAACTTGTAGTACCAGATGCAAAGTAGGCATACTACTAATTGAATCAAAGTGGTAATATTGCTTAACTTAGCAGTTTTCTTTTTATGTCATACTTGAGAAGTATATTTGTTGAAATTACCTTCTTCTGTGTAATAATAATTTCTAGAGGCTGCGTCCTGGACCCAAACAGAGCTTTGCCTGGCACTTCACTGAACATTTAGGCATATTGGTTGTGTTTTTAATCAGTCTCACAAATTTCTTCTGTAGTACACAGCTTATAAATATGCATCACATTATACTTACTTTTTTACTTAAAATATCTTAGTTTCTCCAGTTCTGCTTTCTAAATTAGATACGAAATGCCTACCAAAAGTCGTAGTTTTAGGAAAGTAGATAATTTTATATTGTGTATCAAAAATATAACTCAATATTTAAAAATAACGCAATATTAAAAATATTTACAGCTTCTTGTCAGAATCACAAATTTATTATCTAACTGAAATATACTGTTGTGTTGGAGCAGAGAAATGCTCCATGTTTTGGTAACAATCCTACCTGCCACTAAGTCACTATGATTACTTCAAATATCACTTCTGTTTATTCCTTGAGAACAACAAAGAATGTGCTTGGGGGGGTTCTGTAAAAGAAAAAGGTTTTTCTCCATGTTATAGTTAGAAGACAAATCATTCAAAGAGCTGACAAGAAAGAATAGCATATTTTGAATTATATAAAGGGTAATTGGTTAAAGTCTGCTAGTAATAGTTACTAAATTATTTGTTGAAACTGATGCCAACTGGTAGTAGAAATGCTTGAGTTTGGGTTTGAATATGTTGAAATATATTAATTTTCCCAAAGTCTTACTATGACTGTGATTTTATAGCTTAGTTTAGATGTCTGCGTGGAACCTATACTTGGAACTTAAATTTTAACCTTTGTGGTTCTAGATCTGATAAGCAGTTTTTCTGTTTTGTTAAATAACCTCTCAGAACATGAAGTACTCCAACTAAAGAAGCTTAATATTAGGCAAAGATGTACAGCAGTGATGGCAAACCATTTAGAGCTTTCAATGATAACAAACAGCCCCACCGCAGCACACATGCCGTAGGTTCACCACCACTGATCTTGACTTTAGAGCCCTATAGAACCATGTTTGGGTCCCACATATGCTGCTTAACTTGGCCCATGGCCTTAGACAAATTATTTCACTTCTGTGAGCTTTAATTTTCTCACAGAATAGTAATAGTAAATAGTAAAAGTAAACTGGGTAAAAGGGGAATAGTAAAAGGGTAAACTGGGCATGGTAGCATATGTTTATAATCCCAACAGTTCAGAGGCTGAGGCAGGAGGACCACAGCAGTTTGAGGCCAGCCTGGATTACTATCAAGACTGTACCCGCCTCAAAAAAAGAAAAAGGAAAAACTTACCTATTGTGAGGCATGTGGAAAACGCATAACTTAGTCCCTCGTAAACTTTGCAAAAATGTTAATGGTTCCTTTTTATTTAATTCCAATTTCCCCCCCTCGGATGGAGAAAATTGATTGCAAGCAGAAAATTTGCATGTAGTTTTACAGTGTGAGATGTTTCTTTAAGTTTAAAAGTAAAGCTTTAAATTTATGGAAATTAGGTTTGTTAACTTTTAAAAAGTGAAGGATGTCATAACTGCTAAGACCGATTTATAAAGTCTTTCTAGAAGCTGTGAGACAAACCATAGGAATGTAAAGGAATGTTTTTCAACCTCTGCACTGAAGTACATGATTCACTTTTAATTAATAACTCATGGAGACTGATGTTGTGTCTGCATTTCACGAGGAAGCGAACGTTAATCATGGAAATTTCTCTGATTTCGGAGTTGGTGTTCTGTTTAGAATATCAAAAACTATGTTTCTGCTTTATTTTTTTCACTCAACGTAGTGTTTTTCCTGAAAACTATTTTAAAATGAATCTTGGTAATTCCGTTATTCGCTGGAGGTTTGCTGTTACCCTCTTGATGTCATGAAATAAGCTCACGTGGAGTGTTCCTTGTATGAGTAAACACTATGCTTTGTGCATGTTTGGTGTCCAGATTATAATCTTTAAGGGTTCTTACTTATTCAAAGCTGTATTCATACAGTCCACACAAAGATGTATATAGTCGTGTTCTGTGTTTATTACTGTTATTTGCCAGCTTGACCAGTACCACTTAATAAAAGGACTGGAAGCTGAGTATGGTGATCCACAACTGTCATACCAGCACTCTGGGAGGCTGAGGCAGGGAAATCGCAAGTTTGAACCCAGGTTGGACAGCTTAACAAGACCCTGACTCAAAATAATTTTTTTTTAAATGATAGAAGGGCTGGACATATACCTCAATGTAAAATCCATGGGTTCAGTCACCCATACCAACAATCAAAGGACTGGCTAAGAGAGAGTTGTATAAGGGTTAGAAATTGGTTGAATCTCCCATTGTGAGTGTCTGAAAAAAGCACTTATGGCTGTTTGTTTGCTTGTTTGTTTGTTTGTTTAAGGAAACAAAGGAGATTTGAATGTATTGCTTATAATGTTCGAGTCTCTTTAATCTTAATCCAAACCCAGTCTGGCTGTGTAGAATGAATTGGTACTGCTTTTATATCCTAAAATAGGAGGCAGAATTAAGCTGTGCTTCCTAACCTTCCTGGAATTGCTTAATTTCAGAAATGTATTCCTTCTACCTTCTTCAAGGTGCTGACTTGAAATAGGTACACTTTTATGATTTAAGTCAACGTAACTAAATTCTTTGCAACTTCTGCAGTATTTATTAGCATTTTTCAGCATGGTACATTCACAAGGCCACAGGTAGTGCTCTTTAAAATGAGGAAGCACTGGTATTAATAAACTTACTTGCTTTTTCTACTTAAAATTCAAATCATCTTTCTTTCTTCCTCAATTGACAACATTGCATTTTTCACAAACAGGCAATAAAAACAGGGTTGCGGGAGGAGGAAACAGTGCAAAGACAGGTATCCAACTCAAGCAATCAAACTGCAAAAATTAATCTTATTTCTTAGCCTCTATAAAAATTTAAAACAGACTTTGTTCACTTCAGCATTCCATTCCTCACGCTTGTATTTTCTGCTTCACTCTTCTTTCAGCATAAAGATGCCTATCAAGTGATACTGGATGGTGTCAAAGGCGGTACCAAGGAAAAACGATTAGCAGCTCAGTTTATTCCGAAATTCTTCAAGCATTTTCCTGAACTGGCGGATTCTGCTATCAATGCACAGTTAGACCTCTGTGAAGATGAAGATGTATCAGTAAGTTTATGATGAATGCTGTTCAGCAAGCCTTCACATGCTCTGTGTGGATAATATGATCAAAGTAGAAATATATGATTGCACAGTAACATACCTGTCTGGTCTGGCACTCCACTATATCTAGGCTTGGACCTACATTTGAGGAGCTGTATTAGTGCTTTCACCACTTCTGTTTGTGGAAAAAGGCACAGAATCACAAAATGTTTTGATTATTCACTATGCACTATTAAAAACAGGTTGTGGCTCACATCTTTCTTTTAGAGTGTCGTTCATTGTGTACACAAAATTAAACTGTTGCTATAGTTTAAAACCCTTGTATGTTTTGCATGGCAGAAAAAAAAGAATTTGTCACTGTAATAATAATTGTGTGATTACTAAAATAAGAAATCATTTCTCCCTGAAAAGTATTGACCATTAGCATTTCTGGCTGCTGATTGAAGTTTCTAAGAATTTTCAAGTATTTGCTTGAGGCTTCCCAAATGAAATCAGGAAATCAGCAACATTCACAGCAGAATTTTGTGGATGTAAACCCTGTGCATTTTGCTTTAAATATAAAACCTAATAAGTTAAGATGAATATTTAGAAATAATCATAACCGTAAATGCTAGCTTAAGTAGTACTAAACATTCTAAAACAGTTCCTGAGTATGACATTGCCACAGAAGCCATTCTTCAAGAATACTGTACTATATGCCCAATGGTAATAAAAACTCAATCGTTGCATATAAAAATTAGTATATTCTGTAGTCTGTCTACTCCCATCAAGTATTTAACATTGTTTTCTGCTATGTTTTATTTTACTTTTTCTGTGAAATTTGCATATTAAGCTGGAGCAAATTAAGTCAGGCACTGTAGCGTGTGTCTATAGTTCCAGACACAAGCATTAGGGTTGCTTTTGCCCAGAAGTTCGTGGCCAGGCTGCGAAGCATAGAAAGACTGTCTCAAAGGGAGTAAATTACTTTTAAGTGTATCTTTTTACAACTCATATGCTCCTAATTATGGTTTCTCTGTGATTTTAGTTTTCTTAAAAAGCTGGGTTTGTTGTTGTTTTTAATAATGATAGCATTTGGTTATTTTTGTTTGTTTGCAATCTTGCCTAGATTCGACGCCAAGCAATTAAAGAGCTGCCTCAGTTTGCCACTGGAGAAAATCTCCCCCGAGTGGCAGATATACTAACCCAACTTTTGCAGACAGGTAAGAAATTGTATTATTACTTTCTTATCTAAACATAACTTCTCTCTCTCTGGAGTAGTAGTGACTGTTTTTAGTTTGGGGGTGGGTGTGTGTGTGTGTGTGTGTGTGTGTTTGGGTTTTTTTGGGTTTTTTTCTGCTTGAGGTAACGGTGCTAAAGATCCTACATTAACAGAGGTTAAACTTCTTCATTTAGTACTTTGAAGCTTAATAGCTTATGATTATATAACTGTTAGCATTGTTTGTAAGATATAATAACTAGATTCCCCCTGAGAATTTTGATGTGTCATAACCTTTTCCTCAATTTTCTGTAATGTGATCATTGTACCGTCTTGCTGTACAAGTCTTCCAGGCTTGCCAGGTTGAGCTGTCTACCTCTGTGAGGAAGATGTGTGTATATTTTTGATTCTTGAGAATATTGCTTGGGCATAAGCTTCATGTAATCTGTGAAAAACTGTTGAATCTTAAGTTTGAAAAATTAAGCTAATGATAGTTCAGATTTTATTTTATATTTATTGTGCTACTGTTTCTCTATCCAGATGACTCTGCAGAATTTAACTTAGTCAACAATGCCCTGTTAAGTATATTTAAGATGGATGCAAAAGGTAAGGCCATTTCTTACGCGTAATCATACTTGATGTCTAAAGATTTAGGGAGCTTGTGTTATTCATTAAGGATCAAGTCTTGAGTTCACCCCAAGATTGCTGATAAAAACTAGGTTTTATGAAGAAAAGGTCTCCTTAAGATACTGTGGCTGACTAGAAAAAAAGCAGTAAAAATAGTTGCAAAAACAGGTCAGTCTTTTCTTTAGAAATCTGTTGGAAAAACTCCTTTTGCCACTTCAGAGAAATTCTTCCAGAATGCCTGTGTTTTGTTGTTAATAATGGGAAAATAAAAATTATGCTCAAGCTGACTCTGCAGGAACAAAACGTGACCACTTGTGACTGGGACTGTAGAAATTTCAGACTAACTGGCCAGTGTTGATGGTATTCAGGATGTTTATTGACTTGCTTGATAAGAAATATAAACTGAGATAAATTTAAAAACTTCTCTACATTACACAATTGACTTGCTGCAGACAGTGCTTTTGTTTCACAGGAACTTTAGGCGGCTTATTTAGCCAGATACTTCAAGGAGAGGATATTGTTAGAGAACGAGCAATTAAATTCCTTTCTACAAAACTTAAGACTTTACCAGATGAAGTCTTAACAAAGGAAGTAGAAGAATTTATACTAACGGAATCCAAAAAGGTAAGCTTGAGTCATCATTCAGTAGATGTGCTCTAAAGCATTAGAATATCTTTCAAATTGGGAGTATTCACCTTTGCTGTATGGGGCTTGTGTGTATATAAAACGACACATCCCATCAGAACCACCATAGGGCTTAAGGTTTCTCTTACATTGTATTTTGTAGTTGGCCTGTCATAGTGATGAGTCATTCAATTACCTTAAAGCACTGTCATCATACTTAAACCCTTTATGGTGTCATCCTCAAAATGTTGTGTATATTCTAGAGGACTCTGCATAAATCACCTTCAGGAAATTTTCTCTGATTGCTACTCTCTCCAATCTGGGCTCATCTCTCACAGTATTCTGGATCATTTAAGAATGAAATTTATTATTATTGAGTATCGCATTGAAAAGATCTTTTTTCATCCCACCCCCCAAGACACAGTTAGCTCTTTACCAGTATGAACCCATGCACATTCGTCTGTGCTTCTAGCATAGTTACAGACGTTAAGACAAAGCTGTGTCAAAGTTAATGTCTTGCTCATTTTAAAGTACTAGAGTTTAGAAATAGTTTACTTTCTTGAACGTGTTCAAGAAGATTCAACGTTTCTCTATAATTGTACCACTCACTCACTGATACTGTTTTTTCAGTGAGAAAGAATAGCTCTCCTGCTGAGAATATCAGAATATTTTACCTGTGCCCCAGCTAAGGCTCTGGTGGAATGTGTCATGGCTGCAAGCTCATTTGGTCACTGAACACAAGTTTTAGACCCACTGATGTGAAAGACTTAAACTAAGACGCACTTGTGCTCCTATTTGGGGTAAAGTTACCATGCTATTGTGAAGGAGGCTGGTTAATGGAAGGAAACTGAATCTGACTTAAGTTTGCTACAGATCTCTCCACCACTTTCTATCAAGGGAGGCCCTCTAAGGAGCCTTTTTACAGATTTTTTCATTAATCGTTTCATGTGAAATTTTAATGTCACGGATACATTTATGTCCGTGTTGTGTGTATCAAAAGATAAAATTTTCTAAGAGCCAGTTTTTGTTCCCTTGGGAAATGCTTGTTTACTCTAAAGCTAGAAGTTGTCTTTCACTATTTCAGAAGCATTAATATCAAGCTCATTTGATTAAATTGGCTGTTCTTTCAGTGTTGCTTTTCAAGCAGTAAAGAAGCCTTTACTCTCACTTACCTCTTTGCAGGTCCTAGAAGATGTGACTGGTGAAGAATTTGTTTTGTTCATGAAGATACTGTCTGGGTTAAAAAGCTTACAGACAGTGAGTGGGAGACAGCAGCTGGTAGAGCTGGTGGCCGAGCAGGCCGACCTGGAGCAGACCTTCAACCCTTCGGACCCGGACTGTGTGGACAGGCTCCTACAGTGCACTCGGCAGGCAGTGCCCCTCTTCTCTGTGAGCTCTTTTACATTGCTGGTGTTTTTATTTCCTATTAGTTATGTGTTTGTTCACTTGAACATCTCCCCATAACTTTGCATAAAAGTATCCTTATCCACAGTGGGTAAATACTGTATTTTCTTTATGGAAGCCAGAGCAGGGAGTTTCTTCAAAGGAAATTGCTTAGAGACTTTTAAAAGTGATGAGAATTTCGCATTCTGCCTCTAGCTTTGTGATTCTCTTTGGCCATGAATCTTCTGGGACGTACATACCTTAGTTTGAAAAACCTAGCTTAAAGAATTTGTCCTTTCTAAGTAGTGTGCAGTCTGAAAAATCTAACACTAAAATGCCCCCTAAATTCGATTTAAAATCAAGGAAGAACTCAGAGCGAGGGAGCTGTCCCTGTGCCCTGGGTGACTTTGCCAAAGGGTATCCGTGTCTGTTGCAGGTATTTCTAGGGTGCCCTGGAGCATGCTTTTGTCTTTGTAGTCACAGTACTTGATGGCTAGTTACCACTTTTGAATAATATTCCACCAGAATACTTGACAACATTTCTTTTTGACAATTTACTGTTCCTTTGACCTTTTTTTTTTTTAACAGAAAAATGTCCATTCCACAAGATTTGTGACTTATTTCTGTGAGCAAGTTCTGCCTAATCTCAGTACCTTGACTACCCCAGTGGAGGGTCTTGATATACAGTTGGAGGTAAGAAAAATTCCCTGCTTTTAGCACTGAAAAGACATTTACATATCTTTGAAAAATGTAACCCACCAACAGATTTGATATCTAAAGGGGTAATTTAAATGTCTGGTAATAGTGAGCCACCATTCTAGAGCAGGACCGCTTGCGAGGGAGTGATTCATGGATTCAGTTATGGTGTGAAAAGTACTGCTGTAGATTTCATTAGTCTGTATCTTTGAAGCCTTAATATTTTTAAATGAGGGGTTTAATTCAGGACAGTTTGCATCTATGCCCTTAACTTAGAGAACCAAATTTAACCTAATTAACCCAGCATATCCTTAATTTCTGATCCTCTAGTGTAATTCACGGTTCTCAACTATAACTACTTTTTTCCCAGAGGATCTCTTTTACTTCAGTTATTTGTAATAGCTCTCTCAAATTTTAACCTCATTCATCTCTGTGTCCCCCCAAAACTAGTATAGAGATTGATTGTAAACAACACTTAATGATTGTTGAGTTCGACTGAAATGTGGAAATGCAAGCCCCATTTCCCACCCAGGTCTCTGGGATAAGAGTTACTGTGCCCTGACAATGACTTAGGCTCATCAGAGTGGGACTGGGTGAAACATCCAGAATATTGACAGTTACCAATATTATAAGTGATATAAATTAATAGTTAGAGACTGAGTTTAATAGCAAATGAAGTCTACTTAAATGGTAGTAAACAATTCTTTGCTGTTAAGATTTCCAAATGTCTGTTTATAATACAAGCTAAACTGTGATAAAATCAGCATGGTACTGGCAAAACGAAAAAAAGAAAGACCTAAGGGTCAGTGGAACAGAGTAGAAGATGCAGACACAACTACAAACACACTCAACCACCTTATCTTTGACAAAGGGGCCAAACATGTTCACTGGAATAAAGATAGACTCTCTAATAAATGGGGCTGGAAAAACTGGCTTTCCACATGCTGAAGACTGAAAGGAGACCTATGTTTATCACTATGCACTAAACTAAAGTCAAAATGGAGCAAAGATGTAAATGTTAAAACAGAAACACGAAATCTGCAAAAGAGAAAGTAGGGAGAAATCTTAAAGACATAGGAGTAGGCAGAGACTTCATGAACAAAAACCAAACTGCATGGGAAATACTTCAAAGAATCAACAACTGGGATCTCATCCTATTGAAAAGTTTTTGCACATCAAAACAAATCACCAACAGGGTAAAAAAAAAACACATGAACTGGAAAAAAAATTTAGCCAACTGTTCCTCAGACAAAGGACTTCTTATCTAGAACATATAAAGAATTTTTAAAAAACCAGGACCCCCAAATTCAAAGACCCAATCCAAAAATGGGGAGCTGAGATGAATACACACTTTTCAGATGAAGAAATACAGATGGCAATTAAATAATGAAAAAATATTCAGCAGCATTAGTCATTTGAGAAATGCAAATTAAAATAACACTGAGATTCCATCTCACCCCCGAAAGAAAGGATATCATCCAGAAATCAATAACAAATGCGAGACTGGGGAAAAAGGAACCCTTCTCCACTGCTGATGGGAGTGTGGACTAGTAAAACCACTGTGGAAATCAGTGTGGAGATTCCTCAAAAAACTAGGATTGGAGGTCCCATTGAACATAGCTATTCCCCTTTGGGTATTTTTCCAGAAGAATTGAAAGCATCATACCACAGCGATATATGTGCACCTATGTTTATAGCAGGGCAGTTTGTCATAGCTAAATCGTGGAAACAATCCAAATGCCAGTCAATTGAGGAATGGATAAAAAACGTGGTATTTTTATATAATGGAGCATCACTCAGTTATTAAGAAAGATAAACTGAGGCTTTTATAGGTAAATGGATGCAACTAGAGACCATACTCATAAGTGAAATAAACCAGACCCACATTTGTAAACATCGTGTTGTCTCCCTAGTATAAGAACCTGAAAGAGTAATTAAAACCCAAAAGATACAGTAGATACTGTGAAACAGAAAGAAATTGCTCAAAGGGAAGGAACAACTGGGATGGGGGAAAGGAGAAAAGAAGGGAATATATATATATATATACACACACACACGTGTACATATATATGTACATATATGCATACATACACACATGTATACAAGGACACACACACATATATATGTATACAAGGATAGCTGGGATAATTCTGCTGATGTCTGTTGGTTTATTGAAAGGAACAGTTAATGCTTAAATTTTTTTGACCAATTTTGTATGCTTATATCTGGTAATCTGAACAACTAATTTGATGACAAAAATATGCAGTATAACACACATTGTTGAATTTCTGTCATCTTGTTCAGTGAACCTCTGTATTGTTTCTGTTTTATTACTTTTTATTCTCTTCAGTTGTTTGATCAGTTTTGCAGTCTTACATCTGGTAATCTGAGCAACTTCATTGGAGATAATATGTAGTATAACAACTATTGTTAATTCCTTTTTTTGGGGGGGTGCGTCTTTGTGAGACAGGGTCTTGCTGTGCAGTTCAGGCTGGCCTTGAGCTTACTTTGTAGCCCAGGCTGGTCTCAAACTCACATCAATCCTCCTGCCTCAGTCTCCCAAGTGCAGGGATTACTGTTGTGTACCACCATGCCCGGCCTAATTCCTATCATCTAGTTTTGAAATTCTGTATCGTTTTTACTGTCCTTGTTTTGTTTTTGTCTTTTTGTTATTTTGTTGTTTTTTTCTCTTTAAAAGAAATAGTACAAGCTAATTTAGTTCATGTGTTTATCATTTTTATAATTAGTACTATCATTATTAACCTTTAGCAGAAAGTGTCATGTGTGTTGTTTTCCTTATTTCTCAAGCTGTATTGGAATCATGAGATCTAAGTTTTGAATCTGCTCTGCCGCTCACATGTGCTGTGAATTTGCTGAGTCATAATCTGACCTTCGCTATCTTCAGGATAAAATGTAGGGCTGCATCTCTAAGGCATTTTACATGGTAGTAATAATAAAATAATTGTGTGTTTTAGGTGTTAAAATTGTTGGCAGAAATGAGTTCATTTTGTGGTGACATGGAGAAACTAGAAACAAATTTAAGAAAACTATTCGATAAATTATTGGTAAGAACTTTTTTCTTTCCTTGTGGCATAATCAGTATATTACCCTAAAGACTAATCTAATATTAATTTATAGATGACAAAGCCAGCTTTTAAAATTTAAACAGTAATTCTAGCAAGTATTAGAGCTGGGGAGGCCAGGTGTCGCCTACTCTTTTAAAAAAAAATCCTGTTTTAATCTTGGCGTTTCTTCTGTCATGGATGCTTTGCATAATTATCAGATGTGATCTAGGTAGTAGATCTTTTTCTTGTTCCCATCTCAAAATAACTTTGTACCTATGTAGAAGAAATTATTTGCTCTTCTGATTGTATTAGTCTCAAAACTGAAGTTACCATTAAAAAAAATCATTCCTTCTAGGCCACTAACTAGATAGCCACCTAAGGCCAAGTAACATTAGCAACCAGAAAATAGAGTATGCTGTTTAAGTTGTAATTGTAGAGAAAATAGGCCATCAGATAATAACATTATCACATCACTGAGTGACTTTCTTGTTTGATGTGAGCAGTCCTATAACTCACACAGTCCTATAACTCATACAGACCTGTGATACCTTCAGGATACAATACCACTGATGCTGAAGGCCCTTGGTCACACTTTCAGTATAGAGTCAGTACCTAACACAATATGGCTTCACGTTCAGAAAAGGTTTTTAGAATTACTAGGACCATCAACTTTTAATGCCAAAGCTGGATTGAACCCTGGCACTGAACTTTAATCTTTGTAAGTGCTTAATGTTAGCTACTTTCATTTTCACTATTTGTAGTCACAGCTATAACACAGGTTAGTAAGGAGACCTAATATGATGAAGCGTTGATTCAATAGGTAAAACAGTGGTCTTACCTAAGTTTCTATTTTGGATAGTTTGTCATGTTCTGTGTCTTAAAAGCATGCCTTACAGTCACTTACCTTTTTATAATTAGTGTTTACAGCAGATTTCAAACCATCTTTATACTGTCTCTTAGGAGTACATGCCTCTTCCACCAGAAGAAGCAGAAAATGGCGAGAATGCTGGGAACGAAGAACCCAAGTTGCAGTTCAGCTATGTGGAATGTTTGTTGTACAGTTTTCATCAGTTGGGCCGAAAACTCCCAGATTTCTTAACAGCCAAACTGAATGCAGAAAAGCTCAAAGATTTTAAAATCAGGTGATACATGACTGAGATGATTCAGTCTTTATCAAAAGCTATTACTATCTTGACCCTTCCCCTGGGTTCTGGTTTTATTTTACGAGGGCATCTCCCACACCCTGCCTTATGCAGTGGAATAGAATGGAGCGTCCAGAACAGGCATGTGTGTAACAAGTGCCAGATGTAGCATGACAAGTCCATGGGGGAGCTGAACTTACGAAGAAATAGACTCCAGTTCTTTTCTCTATATGATGTGGATAGATTTCCTAACCTCTTTAATCCCCTCAAATTTTGCTCATCTGTTAAATGTGAATGTTAGGAAATAAATAAAAATTTTTTAAAATGTTAATGGTAATAGTACCTACCTCCCAGAAATCTGGGAATTAAATGAGACGGTGACTATCAGGCTTTTAGCTCAATGCCTGGCACACAGTAGGTACTCAGTAAACTGTGACCACTATTGTGAATATGTCCCACTATGTTACCAAAGGAGCAGCACTAGAGAAATTAACACACTGTATGGCCAGGTATGGTAGCATGTGCCTGTTACCCCAGTACTCTCGCAGACTGCGGCAGAAAGACCTCAATTTCAAGCTCAGTCTGGGCAACTTAGCAACTTAGTGAGACGCTGTCTCAAAGAAATTAAAAAGAGCTGTGAATGTAGCTCAGTGCAGAGATCTTGGGTTTGATCTGTAGTACGCAAAAGAGAGAGACACTTTGTATTGACTCAGCCACAGTTTCACATCCTCAATCTGAGGTGCTAGAGCCACAGTGTCACCTGTTTATTGCCCTCTACCGTGCCTAAGGGAGTGATTTTTAACTTGTAGAAATACTTGATCAAAATAGGTAACATTAGAAATTACTCTTTGTCAGGGCTGGGGATTTAGCTCAGTGGCACAGCACCTGCCTGGCAAGCACAAGGTCGTGAGTTTGATTCCCGGTACCAAAGAAAAACCGAAAAACCAAAAAAAAAAAAAAAGAAATTACTCTTAGTCGTGTAGCTGTCTTCTACATTTAGGGTCATTTGGCTACATTAGAAAAGTTTAGAACAAAACTCAAGTGATGAATTGCTAAGCAAATACTTTTTCCTTTAGGCTGCAGTACTTCGCCCGGGGCTTGCAGGTTTATATCCGACAACTTCGCTTGGCTCTCCAGGGTAAAACCGGCGAGGCATTAAAAACAGAAGAGGTAAGAATACCAGCCTACAACTCATGAATTGCCAATTTCATAGCAGACTGTGTAGGTTGGTATTAGGAGTTCTGGTTTTCCCTGATCTCACCTAATTTAATCAGTCTTCATTCCAGTCCTAATGAAGTACTTTGAATTTTTATTATATCTTACAACTTAGAAACTAATTTCTTTTAAAACTCCTGTGTGTATCTATCCCTCCCTTATATAATTTTCAGGTAAATTGTAGATTACATTTTAATGTTCTAACCTGTCAAGGGAACATAAGTGATTTACTCTTTGCCATCTCCAGAATTGTGTAGTCAAGAAATAGAAATAAGCATTATCGAGAGATTTAAACCATGAAATTCTCTACCCAGAGAAGTGATTGGAAAGAGAGGTTTAATTAGTCTTATGTCAGAATGGAATATATGCACATAGCTGCTCTTGGCCTTTTAATTTAATTTTGTTTTCCCTTTGCAGAACAAGATTAAAGTTGTTGCATTGAAAATAACAAACAACATCAATGTTTTAATCAAGGTAAGTCTTTACTTTCTACTTACTTACCTAACCCTCCCCAGTAGCTAGAAAGTCAGTGCAAGATGATTAGGATGCATGCGTATCTCCTGTGCTCTAAAGCATTGGAGCACATAGACATACACTCAGAAATTTCAGTGGCTGAAACTCTGGTGATTTTTTGTAAAAATTATTAATAGTATATGTTTCTAGTACATAGTGGTTACATTCAGCTGGGGGTGTGAGGTGTGTACATGTCACATGTTGATCATTTATTTAACTGGTGATCTTAATTCTCTTAGGTCCTTTTAAATGGCCAGTACAGAAATAGCCTGTATTATTTTCTCACAGTGAGCATGTACTATATAGTATGTGGAATGTCTTGTGGATTTTTTCTCTGTAAATTTGCCTATGTAATAAAGTCAGAACTTACTGTCCTATAGGCTAGATTGTACCTTACTGTTAAGTCATAATTAACTCTCTGGTTGGATTTATCTTTCCTAAGTATATGTTATAGGTGTATCTGCTGTAGATATACCCTAAAACTAAAAATCTTGGTAAAAATCCTGTGGACTAGTTTTTATTGAAAGAGCGAGGGAAGTGTTTCAAAGACAGTGACAGTGAATTAAACATTGAGTAATGAGTGCCATATTGCCAAGTAGAAAAGTGAAAAGGCATTAAAAACCAAAGAGGTGAGAAAACTAACATATCTCCCGTGGGAATTTTTATAATAGCCACCATTTATTAATGATCTTAAACATAAATAACAGTTTCACACGATAAATCCATATATTAAAATAAGAAATTTGACTTTATTTCAACTAGTGATACAAATGTATGTTGAAATACTGAAAAATTTTAACCTGAGCCAGTAATATGACCTAATGCATGTACATAAGAGAAAGTTTCCTCTTCACCAAACTGTCAGTCTTTTGAAGGTGACTAGTAAGATGTATGGGAAATAGAAATGATTAGTATTTGAATCCTGTGTGTAGGTTGTCTCAGCAGAAAATCCAGAAATATTTTTTAATTCGGCTAGGAATGTTTTAGGGAAAGCACAGGAAAAACTAGTATACCTTAGGCCATCCTTAGCATTTCTCATAAATCTTCAGTTTCTTCTGAGGCACGTTCATCTAATTCCACAACTTACCTCTACCCTACTTGCGAATTTTTTAATTTTACTCCATTTTCCTATCATTACTTGAGATTTAAAATGTCTAAGATTGAAGCCTTATCCTTTCCTTTAATCAGATCTCTTTCTCAGCTAATAACATAACTATATGCCAGATCCCTCCAGCTAGAAACTTAAAACAGTTTTTATTCACAGCACATTCTGTTGGCCATTTACCTGGTAGACTGGACCTCAGTTTTATAGAGGTAGAGGTAATATTCAAGAAGTGTTTGGTGAAAAGCTTAAAAGTAATTGTGTTTACTAATTCATTCATAATTTCAAGGATATTGTGAAGTGAGATTTTTCAATTCGATTAATTTAACATTTAAATCTAGCAACTGTTTGCATTCCTACAATAAGTTAATATTTGTCTTGTATAGGATTTTCCCTTTTAAGTAATTTATAGATTTTTGAGGGGCAGGGAGACATGATTAATGAGACCTTTAATTTTGTTGTAATCTTTAGCCATTTAAAGTTTTGCAAAAGCAAATGCAGAGTACACCACTGTGTTTTCCTTAAAGCACCTCAGCAATTGCATTTGTGCAAAAGAAAAGTTAGCTTCATTTTTTAAAGCTGGTAAATATGCGTGTTTCCTTAAACTTCAAATGAGTTAGAAAAATTAGCTGCAGTTTAAGTGATACACACAAAGTTGGTTAACTGGTGTGTTTCATAAACAAAATGGTTCGTTTTCTCTCAGTTACCAGCACAAGAAGGATAAATTAAAGCTGCTTTTTTTTTTGGTAGTGGGAATCCAACTCAGGACCTTGGCTTGCCAGGCAGGCACTTGTGCCGCTGAGCTATCTCCCCAACCCCAAAGCTGCTTCTCTTAAAAGTATCTTTTGGAATTTGTTTGTTTATTTTGGTGGTGCGGGGTATTGAACCTAGGGCCTCACACAAAAGTAATCGTGAATTGTATCTCCTTGCCTCCCCATCTTTGTCACCACTCCCTGTGACTAACAAATGCATTAGAATCTTATCTGATTTTGTCTCTCCAGGATCTCTTCCACATTCCTCCTTCTTATAAGAGCACAGTAACATTATCTTGGAAACCAGTACAGAAGGTTGAGATTGGGTAAGAAATACATTTCAAAGGGATTTGAGGGTTATCAAAATCTGAATGCAGTTGTCACTTTAAGTAAGAGTGTATTATTAGTTACGATTCTCAAGAAAATGTTAAAATGTGATAGAAGCACAACTTAAATACAAATTGTAATTCTAGTATTTTAAAAATAAACTCGTGGAATAAAACCCTGGAACTCAGGATGGTTTGAACTCCTGTAACATAACTAGACTTCTCTGACATTTTCATAAAATGAGTCATTTGCATGTAGGTCTACAAAGCTACACATCTGTCAGGTGTGCTGACATACTCCTTTAATCCTAGCTACTCAGGAGTTGCAAAAGAAGTATCATTGCAAGCTTGACAGCATGGCAACCTAGTAAGACTGCATCTCAAAAATAAATTTTGGGCTGGGGATTTAGCTCAGCGGCACAGCGCCTGCCTGGCAAGCACAAGGTCGTTGAGTTTGATTCCTAGTACCGGAAAAAAAAAATAAATGAATGAATTTTAAAAGCCTTGTTAATGCTTTCTGGCATTCTGTATAACCAAGGCACAATTAATTCGATGACATGGAACATTTTTCATTTTTTCTGATCTGTCCTCTTTAAGATACCTTTTACAGCTAATGTACTGATAGCTTTTGGCATCATAGAATGTCTTTTAATTGTTATTCTTCCTACCATTGTAGGCAAAAAAGAACCAATGAAGATACAACTTCAGGTTCACCACCTAAGAAATCTCCAGCAGGACCAAAAAGGGATGCCAGACAGATTTATAATCCCCCCAGTGGAAAATACAGCAGCAACTTGGGCAACTTTAATTATGGTGAGCGTTTCCGTTTGGGTAGAAGCAGTATGAGAAATTAGGTAAAAATTGGGTTATAATTGAGTTTAGTTATTAATTACTTACTGTATCCTAGCTCTGTGAGTTGACTTTGAGTTAGCTTAAGAACTGGAGCTACTGGGAAAACAGTTTCTCCCAGTTCTCTTAGCTCAACCCTTGTAGTCTTGCTGAATTGAGCATGCAGCACTGAACACATTAGACATGGTGATGCACACCTGTAATCCCAGCACTTGGGAGACTCGAAGCAGAAGAATCTCAAGTTTGAGACCAGCCTGGGCTACACAGCAAGCCCCTGTCTCAAAAACAGCAACAACAAAAATGCACTTAAAAAGCAATGCCTCTTGTACTCAGAGGCACCAACAGAAGAAAGGAAGCTGGCATGAATCATCCATTCCGTCTTTTCCCAAATCGTTTGTGCATTTACCTCAGGGATGGGTATACCTTCTGACAGATGAGGTCTTAAGGATCTTGTCAGCCTGCTTCTTATCCTATTTTCTGTAGCTCTTGTGAGAAAAGTCATGGAAGTCACATACGCAAGTATCATTTAGCAAAAATACATTCTATTACAGGCTGTCCCCTTCCCAGATTACAGCTTCCCACCCATCCAGGGCTGTTGAATCTGAAGTGAAGTTTCTTTCTTACTGGCTTTTCTGCCTCTTGGATCCTTTTTTTAAAATAATAGGAAGAAATATCAACCTAGCGCCTTACCTTGTGTAGCAAAACAAAGTTTAATAATGTCAGCAACCAGACATGCCAGGGGTTGGTCTTGCTCACAACTCAGAATTAATTTTGTAATATTTAGTAAGGAAAAAAAGGTACATCTGACCATGTACTCTAATTCTGTTTCCAAGATGAGATCATTGTGACATGAAGTATATTCCTCCTACTGTAGCTCAATTCTGTCTGAGCAGTTTGGAAAAAGCCAGGTTGAGACCAAGAATTGAACCCTTGTACTCTAGTCCCCTTACTTGGAATCAAGTTTAGAAAATACCTCTGAACTGTAACATGACAGTGTACAAACGTGTAGCTCTTCGCCTCTTACCTGAAAAATAAGGGTAACATGGAGCCCTTATGAACTTCAAGTAAGAATATTTGTGTAAACATACTTTAAGTGAAAGTGATTCTGCCTTACTTTGTTGCACGAAGTACTGTACCTTGTTATTTGTATGATTTAATATGGTGTCTAACAATTCATTCTTAAAATCAGCAATTATATCAGACAGTAGGCAGATGTACCATAAATGACGGTAGTCAAGAGCTTTGGCAGTAGATGAAGGAATTGTGTTTTTATCTGGCCAGGCGAAATACTCTTGCATTTCCACGATGATTCTATATTCTAAAACTGTCTACCTGACAGAATATGGAAAAGAGATGTGAAAAACTTACATCATGTGTTTTACCAATGTTGAAGTTTTATTAAAGACAAAAATCCAGGAGTCACCCCTTCAACTGCTTCAGTAGACTTAGTAATGTGCAAACGAAAGAGGTTTTTCTTTTGGGCAGTACAGCCAAATTCTGGCAGTATTTTACATTTGTATTTTTTAACACAATCAGGTTATAGGTCACAATAACAAGTTAAAGAGAGCTGGGGATATAGCTCAGTGGCACAGTACCTGCCTGGCAAATGTGAGGTCATGATTCAACTCCTGGCACCAAAAAAAATTTTTTTTGAAAATTTTTTTTGCTTTCCTTCTTTCGTTTGAAAGCATTTCTCAGTATCCAACTTTTAACATTTTCTTAAATAATATCTTTGCTTTTTGCTTTGTATACACGGTATCCATTATTAGTTTATCTTCCTGTGCATTTTCAACCAAATTATTTATAAATACATACCCATGTTTAGTCCTTTCCTGCACATAGCTCCCCTGAGAAGGAAATGGGCTAGTACTAAACATTCTAGACTTTGTGACTTGTTTCTTTTACTTTTTAGCATTTTTTTAAATATAAAAAATATAACTAATTTTAATAGGGAGCAGTGATTTTTTTTTTTTCAAGTTAATATAAACTTGAAACTATTGAAAAGATCATGAAATTGCAGAACAGTCCTCTAGTGTGAGGCCCTTCCAAAAAAAAAATAAAAATCCCTGTGCTATAGAAATAGTTGTATCAATTAGAGATCAAAAAGAAATAGCCAGTATAGGCAGAAAATGGCATGCATCCGTAGTCCCAGCACTTGAGAAGCTGAGGCAAGAGAATTGCTTGAGCCCAGAAGTTCAAGATCAGCCTGGGCAACACAGCAACACCTTGCCTCAAATACAGAACAAAGATAACTGTACCAAATACCTCATACAATATTTACCACTGAGGATAACCCTGGTCTTCATACTTAAAAATATTTAAAGGAGGGTGGGTCTTGGTAGCATGTTAGCTTATTAAAGCTAATAATTCTATGAAGGTATTAAGTATGTTGATGTTAAAAAAGAAGAAAAGAAAAAGCAGGAAAATGATTTTATGGCCTGGGAGTACAATTCTGATTAGAACACTTACCTGACATGTGCAAGGCCCCAAGTTTGATTCCAAGTACTGCTTAAAAAAAAAAAATACCAAACATGTTGTACACCTTAAATACATACAATAAAAATAATAAAGATTTTGACCAGGTATGGTAGCTTGTGCCTGTAATCCCAGCTACCAAGAAGGCTGAGTTTGGGGCCAGTTTGGACAATTTAATGAACCTTGTCTCAAAAAGGTCTGAGTAAGCGCTTGTTTAATGTGCAAGACTTTGAGTTCAATCCCTGATTCCACAAAAAAGGGGGTAAAGTGCAAACATCTACATTGAGGGCCTGTCTTAATTATTATCTCTCGCTGAGACAAAATATCTTGATACCCAGAATTAAGCAAAGAAAGGTTTATTTAGCTCAGTTTGTGGAGGTTTCAGTCCATATGGCTGGCTCCAAGGCGAAGTGGCACATGGCAGAGGGCAACAGTTTATTGCTGCAGAAGACAGCAAAAGCAATGAGAGCAAGAGGGAAGGAGGAACAACAACAAGCAAGCCTCTTTCCCTCCTTTATGTTGTATACAGGCTACCCACCCCAGGGTGAGTATAGCACTCACACTCACAGTACTCACAACCCATAATCCCATTGGGCCATGAGTCAGTCAAAAACTCTAGAAGCCCACCCCATGCCTGCATGAGGCTTTCAGGGGACATTGAGATACACACCATAACAGGGCCCAATCTAAAGATTAAAAATGGGGGAATTACAACCCCCTAAAGATTACTCCTCGATGCACCCAGTCACCACATTGATCGCTGAGAACATCATGCCTTCAGAGAGACCACTGATTTTTTTCCACATTTCATCATTGATAGTTTAAAATATTTCACATTATGTGGCCAAGAGCTTTTAAAAACCAAGGGCTTTTTGTTAATTCCATATTAAGTATAGAAATTTTTATAGTTCAATTATTTTTGGTATCGATAGGCACCAGAATAACCAAGAAATATGATGCTACCTTGAGTGTATTCCCTAAGGTAACAAACATAACTTCATTTTAAAGTGGTTTGCATAGCACTTTACTTACAAAACGGTATCATGGCACTTTGTGTCAGGTTTCATTCTGTCACACAGAAAAATGTCGGCTAAACTGGAGAAAGGTCTAGTTAGTGTTCTGCCTCAGAGTTGAATTCTTCTGGGGAGAAAGACAACAGAACATCACCCTCACAAGGAATAATGGCAGAAGAAAATCGGATTGCGAATTTTATTTAAAAGATATTTTCAGGCCACCAAGATTGTGTATCAAAAAGAGCAAAACTAACCTCTTTATTGCTGCTAACAAGATTACTTCAGTGTTCAATGAAGAGATTTAACCTCATTTGCATATGATGAAAAGTCTTACTTTGCTAATTTTAGTGTGTTCTCCTCGCTGGATTCTTGTAAGGAATATTTCTCTGGGACTATAAAAGTCGCTGGCTCTTACTCTGTTGTGGAACACAAAGGACTTGATTTTTTTCAGTAAAAGATAAGCATAAGTTCTATTAGTAACTGATACTGTGTGTGGACATAGATGTATGTCTGCTACACATTTATACATTTAGCAGCAGTTCAGGAAGGTGACATGGCTGAGAGAGCAGTGAAAAAAATAATTTATGTAAGTCCAGCTCCTTTAAATATTGTAATCAAAACAAAACTGCCTATTTGTTGCACTTGATAGGTACATTTTTCACTGTTTCATAATGGGTTATTGGTAGTTTAAGGTGTTTCTCATCTATGACACCTTTAAAAATCAGTGGTTTTTTTATTAATTGCATTCTGAGTATAGAAATTTATAGTTTGTTTCTTTGGTAGTGATAGGCACCAACATGAAGTATAGTTCCAACATCGTCACCTAAAGCAGCTTTGTTGATGAAATGTGTTGTACTATGAATGTACATATTTAACACTTTGTGTCTTGTTATGTCTTGATGTTGGCCTGGTTTTTTTGTACAGAATTAATTTGTACATGGATTAGTAAAACACCAGTTTTGCTTTTATAGGGTCCATTGCTACTTGCAGAGCAAAATGTTTCCTCAGTTTGCTATCCCTGAGGGCCTGAGCAAAACCTAAACCCTTGTTTGCTTTTTCGTAGAGCAGAGAGGAGCCTTCAGGGGAAGTAGAGGTGGCCGAGGTTGGGGAGCCCGAGGAAATCGCAGTCGCGGAAGACTCTACTGAATAAGACATCACATTCTCCAAGCATTGTCATGAGCTTAATAAATGTAAACTCTACTACTCATTGGATTGCCGGGGATGTCCCTTTAAAAGGACTGCTGCCTTCAGTTAAAAATTTAATGTTCTTTATACCTTTGTATGTATGATCTACTTTTGTAACAGACCATGGTGTCTCCAAGGTAAAACCACAATATTTTTGGATGCTTTGTCCCAATCTTGTTTTTGCAATATCATCATTCAGATTTCATATTGTTTACTTTTAAAACATCTTAATAATTTGTTATTAAGAGTAGTTTGAATTTAAAAAGTAAGGAAATTCAGTCTTGTTCTGATAATCAGTTTTGAAAGGTAACTAATTTTCTTCTCCTGTCTTACCTTTTTTTACCAAATATATGAAGAAGAGTAATAGTCTCAACATTTTATTTTCCTTGTTATTTTAATAAAGCTGCTAGGCACTTGTGCAGCATTCTCTCTTAGGGAAATGCCAGCTTTCTTAAAATGTAGAAGTGACAGTACATTTTTAGGAGGAAGTAAATTGTTTTGCACTGCTTCCTTTACTCTTCTGCATATATTGGGATACAGCTTTTAAATACGGGAATCTTACTATTTGAATAGAAATGTGTATGTATAATAAGCATGTATCTGTATGTATGTGTGTGTGTATACATACATATATATGTGCATGCTGTGAAAGGAGTACACAACAAATCAATATTTTAAATTCCAGGGATGAGTAGTCTTTGACATGGTGATTATCCTTTTGAGGCTGAGTCCATTACTGACTTCTCTAGGTTTTTGTTCCCCATAGAGAGGAATTTTGAGTCAGTTGCACTTACATGATTATTGTTATTTAAAACTAAAACAACGGCTGTATTTTCAGAGATAAATTTGGGGATCCCTGTTAGTAAAATACAGCCAAATCTGATGTATATATAGGTTTCTACAGGATGAATAGTATAATTTAGGATTTAAAGATCTAATAACCAGGGCTACCCAGGAAAAGTGACTTGATAACATAGTACAAGTGAGGGAGGCTCTCCGTTTGCTTTTGCCACTTTTAAGACTTTAACTTCTCAGGTTATTAACCAAATTATTGTATAAGTTAGCAAATAGAATCCTTAGATTAAAACAACAGATGGGAGGTTTGTGGAGTGTCTAATGTCATAGACCCATTGCTCTGCATTTGATTATTTCATTTATTTTTGTTCCATAGTTAACCTTCTCTCCCAAATTTGCTATTAAAATCAGATGCCCAAATGACATTTCTAGTAGTTTGATGTATTTTTTGAGGAATAGTTTGTGATTACAATGCAGGTGTCTTCATTACCATTACTTATACACTGGGAGTAAACAAAACCCCTTTGTTAGAATTACTGCACATGTCTATAGGGAAGATACTTCTTAAAGGCTGGAATGATACAAGTGAGCCTAAGAAATTGGTCAGCTTTACTATGGAGTGATGGCAATAATCTCTATAAACATTCCAAAAGCCTGAGCTGCACCTAGCTTCCTTGGAACCTGAACAGACATAGGAACATGGAATTACATTTGCAAACCTCTACTATCTGGTCTGGACCTCATAGACAGATCAGCCAGTGACCTAAAGCCATTTCAGAAACTAAGTTGGGGCCCCAGCTATATAGATTTGAACATTAAGTGCACTGTTTTCCTCTTTTCTAAGCATATTTGTAAATTTAACACCGAACAAAAGTGACTTGACTTTCTCACGTTTGATACTGATCTGACACTGTTCTTTCCTTTAACACTGTTGTTCCCCTTCCTTCTCCTAAGGCAATAGTTAGGGGGTTTTTGCTTCAAAAATTAAAATGAAAAACTTCACGCCATGGATTTTTCTTTTACAAGACACCTGTTTACCACTTTGTTTAAATGTAAATGTTCCCTTATGCTTTTGAAATAAATTTCCTTTTGTAGTTTTGCGTCTTGATGTGTTTATAACTTCAGGTTCTTAAGTACTTACTAATGTTTATTGAGTGCTTCTCATGTTCCAAGAATTGTGTTAGACCTTGAAAATACACAGACAAGACACTGCTCTGACTTCAAGGAGTTCAGTCTTTCAAATTAACTATATCGAGTTTATTTCTATAAATCGTTGTGACTGTTTTATGAACTGACCTAGTTTTCTGCAAAAAAAGTACTTGGTTCTCTTTCTCAAAGCAAAACATAAGAGATTCATCAAGTCATCATGAAAGAAATCATTTCCATCCTTCAGTAGTAGTTAAAGAAGCTGAAACTCATTAACTATCACCAGCCTTTATTGAAGTCTTCATGGAATACTAAGGATGGGAAGAAATGTTCAAAAGCCAAGGTTTAATTAAGTGGGTCAGGACAAGATAACTAAATTCCCAATCCTATGGCTTTAAACACCATCTGTATGCTAAGAACTGTCAAACTGTATTTCTTGCCTAGCATTTCATAATCTAATTGACCTCCCAGCTATTAACACTGAACTCATACAACAGTTCTAAACTACAAGCACAAAAGCATGTCCTCTTCTCGAAGTTGTTCAGTGGTTCCCTATTTAATTCCTCCCCTTGGTCACTCTTCGTCTGCTGACATGCAGGCCAGCTAAGACACTCTCCAGCCTCAGAGCCTCTCTGGCCTATCTTTAGCCATTCTCCCTTATATGCATATACCTAACCTCCTCTCTTTCAAGTCCTCAACAATCCTGTTTAATGCTACAGGTACTTTCTACCCCAAGACTAAAGATTCCACTTACCCTACTTTATGTTATCTGTAGTATTTACCAACTTTGTTACTTACATTTGCCTTCCCCGCTAGAAGTACTTTTGCATTTTGTTCAGTTAGAATCTCACCATCTAGAAGAGTACTTTACACATAATAGGCTCACAGTACATAGTATATTGAAGGCATGGTTGCAACATGGGGGATACAGTAATGTTTAAGAGACAAAGGGAGTTCACATTATCATGCTGAGCCTGGCAAGCCTCAAAACAGCAGGCTACTAAGTGCTGTGAGGACACTGGAGCACTGGAGCCTTCTAATGTGTCGTAAGAGTACAGAAAGAATGGCCAGAAAAGCCCTCAGGAATGAATGACCTGAGATCTGGATGATGACGAAGCCAGCCTGAAGATCTCAGAGATAACGCAATTGAGATCACAACACACAAGGTGCTTGGCTTTCAGCATTCCAGACTCGGCCAGAGAATGGGCGATCTCAAAACTTACAGGTTCCTACAGTCTGGACCCCAGATCTCAAAACGTCTAGGTGCCTACAATCTGGTCCCCAGATCTCACTAGGTTCCTACAAACGACCCCAGAACTTGTGAATTCCCAGAACTGCTCTCCATAACTTAAAAAGCACCACTTTTAAATAGCCCTGATATTGGGGGATTGGGGGTTTGGTAAAACCACTTCGCTGGTTTTGCCTATACATCACGCTAACATCCTGAGGTCTGAGTAGATAAGATTTCCCTGGGACTGGGAAGCCTTTCTTCAGGATCGGCACAGGGCTTCCCACCGGTGCTTCAGCTACTCCCCTCTGCTTCAGAAACCTAGGACCCTGTCGGGTGACAAGGACAACACTGAAACTGATTCTAATAAGGGCCAAGTGGTGCCAAAGCTTTTCGCGTTCAACCTAGACCTATAGCTTACACCTGTTCTTCCTACTATCCCAGATACTGGGAACACATCCAGCCACCCCAAACTTAACTGATCCGTGCGCTGCAACTACACACTGCTTGCCAAGACTTAGGAAAAATGTGAAAGTCGAGTAAAGCATCTCTATCGCGTACAGATTTCCCCTTGACCAGGTGCTGTGCATACTGTAACAGGCAGTACCGCGATATTCCCCTCTTCCTTCCGCGAGGCCGCACCGTAGCCTCAGGCGCCGCCTCGCCCAGCACGCCCCGTCCTCGATCTTCCACAATCGTGAGACTTAGGAGGAAAGACACGCCTCTCTTCCCGTAGGTAGTTCCAAGTCCTCCCTTTTGGTTCCCAATTATCTTACACCACCGTAAATAAATTTTTAAAATCTAAAAGCATGGATTTGGTTTAAAAAAAAAAATCACGGGAGTCTTCTCACTTCGACGTAAACGCCACCTAGTCGACTGCTTTTATCTCCCTCCGGTTCCCACGCTTAGAGAGCGCATCTCCTTACACGAAAACAATAGCCAAAGAGCAGTTCCCAGGGCCGAGGCGCGGCTGGGCAGGAGGCCCACGGCCGCACTCCGAGGCCCTCCCAAACCCAGGCCGAAGACGCAGGTCGCCCCCGGGCAGCGCTCCCTCAGCTCCTCCCTCCTCCGCGCCGACCTACCCAACATGGCGGGCGGCGGCCAGCCGCTTCCGCTTCCGGTGTGAGCTGCGGGGCCGGGGGGGCAAGATGGCGGCGGCAGTAGGGGTCCGTGGCCGGTGCGAGCTGCCGCCTTGCTCTGGCCCGCGCTGGCTTCTCAGCCTTTCTGCTCTGCTGAGTGTGGCGGCCCGAGGGGCCTTCGCCACCACGCACTGGGTCGTCACCGAGGACGGAAAGATCCAGCAGCAGGTAGCGGCCAGGGCGTCCCGTGGCGCCCGCCCTCGCCCCGGGGGGGATTCCCTGCCGGGCCCCCGGTGTTTGGCTCCGCGCGGCCCCGCCCCCAGCCCACCTTCCCAGGGTCCCCGCGCGGCGGCCCCGGCGCTCCGAGCGCTGCGACGCGGCGCCGCCCCCTCCCCACGCGGCTGCAGCCACGAAGTTCGCAGCTTTGCAGCCCGGGGGCCGCGCGCTGCGTGGGCAGAGGAGCCCAGCCGTGGGGGCAGGGACCCTGGGACCTGCTCTCGGGCGTGGGCTCTAGAAAACGCACATTCCTTAGCCCTGCTTCGGCGTCTCTCGGGCCCACGCGTCACCAGTCCTCCCCGAGCAAATAGAAAGCAGGTGGCAGCACTGGGGTGCGCGCGAATCCCAGGGCAGTGACAGCTAAGGTGTTCCCGAATGGGGGACCATTCCCTGCCCCTCCCCCAGCCTCCTGGCCCACAGGGTGGGATTCCTCCCAGGTTTGGTGGTTTTAGCTTGTGCCTTTGCCCCCGGTTAGCAGGGACTCCTTAGGGACATCACACACTTGGAGGATGCCCCTGGTGGTGTTGCCTGCATCTTTTCAGCTGTAACTCCTTTCCCAGTGTACTTTGCCCTGTTCCTTTACCTAGCTCCTATGAGCCAGCCCTCCGCGGAGGATATGCTACTTAATGCATTCTTGTCTGCTTGAACTAATTCCTCAGAGTTGAGCCCGCTTTTTTTTTTTTTAATGTAACTTTATGGTGACTGCATTTTGTTTGTACCGCCGATGCCTACAGAATAGAGGTGTGTGTGTATGTTCATTCATTCGACCACAGAATCTTAGTAAATTTAGTGATTGCTGGCACTTAAGAACTATCTTGAAATGTAGAGCAGACATTTAGAAATGAATTGTGTGCCCCCCCCCACTTCTCCGTACAGTGTCACCTACAGATCCCAAAGGTTTTCGCCAGTGTCCTGTGAAAGTATACAGGTCCTTTGGGTTGCTCTAGTGAATGGTTATAGGAACACATTACAAGGTTTACTTTTGTTTAGATTTAGAGTTGCCAGGTGATGGCGATTTTTACAGCGAGCGTTGAACAAATATAGGTTTAAAGTCTGCCTTTGTGTTTTCATTATGACCACTTAGAAAAGGTTTCAAAGCTATGTCAACTGAGGCTTCAAATGTACATCTGTGTGTCTTAGAAACCCTAGAAAACACTGCAAGCCCGTCTTCTTGACAAAAGATTGGAAATCTTATATTAGTCCTGGTTGCTTCCACTTTTTTGCTTCCCAATGGTGGTTTTCCCTGAGGCCCTCACGGAGGAAGACGGGGAGTTAAGTCACTTCTGCTGCAGCTGGGGGAGTCTCTCTCCTATTGGCTCTTTTGCTATATTGTTTTTTGGCCACAGCTATTTATACGCTATGACATTGACTTCTCCTTGCCATTTTGGTGTCCTGCCACTCAGCTGAAAAAGTAGCCCATCTGAAAAATGAAAGCTGGTAGGAATATTTCATTTATATGCTGAGTATTACAATGGGAAAGTAAAATCTGATTTGGCTTTGTTTTCCAAAAACAAAAAAAAATTCCTAGTGCACATTGACTACATATGTTTTAGTAGGGAAACAGGGATTGCTAGTAACCTGCTTCAGACAAGGAGGAATCTGAAGACATCTGGAACTCTGCCAAGGCACACCTGCAGTAAGTACTTCAGCTTAAAGTTAAGGAAGCAAGATTTCTTCATGTCTTTTTTAATGATCCTTTTCATTGAGTTTTCCATTGCTTTGCTACATATAGCATTTACAGTGTTAAATTCAGGTAGCCATAAAGTTTTATACCAGAAGAAATAAAATTGCGCTCTGCAGTGTAAAAGGAGGCGAGGAAAGGGGCATTGGATTTAATCTGAGGAAAGAGCAGCACATACAAATAAAATAAGAGTTGGATAGCGTGGTCAGCTTCTGAATTCCACTCTGATAACTGTGCATTAGTCATGCATCCCTTCCTGGCAATAATTTGAATGAATGCAGGCAAAATCCAAATTCAGTTTAGATTGCAGTTAATGATCATATTTGGGTATACGGAAAGAATTGAAAGATGCTATTAGCACATGAATTTGGATATTTTACAGTCTGTTTGTATATTCAGAAACATACTTAACTAAAAACTCAGTCTATATCCTGTGTACTGGGGCTGGAAGTGTAGCTCATCCGTGGCGCTCTTGCCTAGCCTGCTCAAGGGCCTGGTTTGGATCCCCAGAACAGAGAAAAGGAGGTCAGCCTCTCCAGCAGTCAGATAAATTGAATGGCAATGCCACTCTGGTTGAAACTCTGTCTGATATTCAAATCTGCCCAAATTAAATATACTAAGTCATTATTTTCCACAGTGAATGCCAAGAAGTATTTATGAATTAAAATCAGAATTGCCCAAAAT